AAACAGGACTCTAGGAGTCCCAGCTTTTTGACATAGTACAATCAAAGATGGGCGTCCAGAGCAGCACTAATTACCAAGAGTGGCCTGTCTCTCACTGATGCTTCTGCAGGCCTGCTGGGATTGCTGTTAGCTGGAAGGACAAGAGAGCTCTGAAGGACCAGTCCCAACCCTGATCCCAATTTGCTGCTCTGGGATTCCTGGTCATGGGCTTTGAAGGACCAGTCTCCCAATCAAAAAGTTGAGGGATGTTGCTCAGTTAACACTATAAACCAGGAAAAGATTTGGCCCTATAGGCCAGAAAGGATTTTAATTTTAAACTGAGGTATTAACAGATTGGCCCCTTGTAGCAGGAAACACAGGCGGCCTTATGATGAGCCATTACCTCCACACATCAGGGGGGTCATCTTCACAAGAGGCCGATGAAGACTGCTGGAGAAACGTCCGCTGGCGTAGAAGACAAGGCTGCGTGTGCCCAGGAGAAAAAGAGGTCAGCCAGCCCCCGTTTCTGCAAGATCTGGTAAAAAAAAACCAACAACAACAAAACGAAAACACAAACAGTTTCTTGTCGGTCCGGTTTCTCAATGGCAAACCGCGAATTCTCCAGAATGAAAGCAATAACTCCACTGTGTTTACAGGGAAGTGCTTGGCATTGCAAACATATAATTTCAAATGTTTACAGTGGCAACCCACACACCAGCTCTCAGTGGGGAGGAGAGCAGAGTAAATGAGCCAGTTCAGAGATGGGGATTATTAAGAGGCCATGATTGATAAGGGCCAGAGGGAAATTTGGCCAGGACACCGGGGTAACACCCCCACTCTTTTCGAGAAACGCCCTGGGATTTTTAATGACCACAGAGAGTCAGGACCTCGGTTTTACGTCTCATCCGAAGGACGGCACCTGTTGTTACGCTATACTGGAGCATTAGGACCCACATGGACCGCAGGGTGAGCGCCCCCTACTGGCCCCACTAACACCGCTTCAAGCAGCAGCCTTAGTTTTTCCCAGGAGGTCTCCCATCCAGGTACTGACCAGGCTCCCACCTGCTGAGCTCCAGTGGGGCTGCCAGCCGTGAGCTGCAGGGTGATCTGATGCTCTCTGCTTTCGCGTTCTCCATCTGTTAGGAAACCCGAGGTTGTGCCGCACATGAGCCCCCCAGGCATCCATAAATGGGGCGGCCAAAATTGTACACAATATTCTAAATGAGGTATCAACAGTGCGTTCTACCATTTTGACTTAACATCAAACGGGACCTTGTGTCTCGCTGACCGGTGCTCGAGGTCGCTGAGCAGTGCGGGCGACCCCCTACTGACCGTACCCTACTGGCGTGAGGGGCAAAGGAACAGCATTCCCATAATGCCACAGCAGGGAAGGGGGGGGGGGTCTTGTTTTTCCCCTCTGCGACGGCTTTTCAAAGCCCCTTTCTGGAATTTTCACCCTGTTCTGGTGGACACCTGGTACATAAAGTGTCTGGAGCTGCCGGGGACCAGACGTCAGGACATTATCGGGAGCTCACCGGGAGAGGCCCACCCCTCCTTCACAGCCCGTCATGAATTTACAGAGTCTCATAAACACACCATCTGGCACTCACTGGTCGGGCATGTGCTGCACGGCGTCTCTGCTCTGGAGAGCTGACTCGGGGGACCTGTCGGACAGATCCTGCTTACCCTTGACTGGCTGGGCGATCGGGGGGGGGGGGCAGATTCCAAAGGTCAGGGGGTTCAGCAGGCCTTTCAGATCTGATCAGTGCAGTTCCTTGTTCACAGTCTGTGCTGGAGCTGGAGCTCTGCCCTCTGTGAGTGCTGCTCCTCTCCCACGAAAACGCTGTGAAAGCTGGGGGGATTAAGCGATCGAACACATGGAGCTACGTGGCGTTAGGAGCAGGATTGTGGCGTTCGTGGGCCCCAGGCACTTTCACTCCGAAATGTGCAAAGAGAGGGGTCAACGCCAACTGGAATGACGTCGGTTGGCATGATGCACTTTCAGCTCTTCTAATGCTAAACCGCGTGTTCGATGGAGCGAGTCCAGCGACCATCCCTTCGAGACTTCTGGTTTCTAGAAGAGCCGTGTGATTATTGATTTGGAGCACCCAGAGTCGGTCGCAAGCCTGTTGTTCCAGCTCGATTTTCATCAGTCACTCGTTTGTCCCTCCTCCGTAGGCCATAAACATTTCGCAGGCATTAGGCTCTCTGCCTACAGTGCATCGTGGGAAATCCGGCACTGGTTAGGTGCCCATACAGCTAACCAGACACCACTTCTTCTAAAAGTCCAAGATGAGGGCTGCAGAGGAACAGGGAAAGGTTCATTCCATGCTGAGAAAAAGAGACGCTTGCCTTTTCAGCTCCTAATGAACCTTTTCCTGTTCTATCACTTCTGATAGCTGTATGGCCTCCTTGGAAATTCGTCACACCAGCCTTGACCTTGTCCCTTACTTGGATACCGTTAGGGCAAACCTGCATGATGGGATAGGCTGAGATGCCCCCCCTTCCCCGCTGACAATATCTGTTGTCAGCGGTGATGCCCGCCAAGCCCCCACTCATTCATCATGGACATGCTGTCTGTGTGTTTACCTGGAGATAATTAGGTTTGATAGGTACAAGAACCTTAGGCAGCATTCTTAGGCTGTCGCCAACATTAATGCCACCAACAGGCAAGGATGCCAACAACCGTAATAACACTTGTCACAAAAACAAGACATTTCAAAAAGTCACGGAGGATCAAGAATGAATTTATTGCATTTGTTTCTCACGTGTAACTGTTTGACATCCTTAAAAAAAAACAAAAACCTAGAGCCAACGTCACTACAATGTTACTACAATGTCCTCCTAAACACCCAATATATTACTGTACAAATCTACTCTGATTACACTATGTACACGACAGCAACTCGAGCCTGACACACAACCACAGAGCAACAAGGTTAAGATCGTACCAAGAACGAACCAAAACACGAGCAGGAAGTGACCAGATACCACTTCCTGTAGCGGGATGCACTCCTAACTCCAGACTCTCCTCACTGAGCCAATCACTGGGCCTTCCCATCATCCCCCCCAGGGCTTGCACACAAGAAAAGAACATGTTAATCGAGTCCTTGAAGCATTTCTAAACCATTATAGGTGCTATAAAACCAAGAGACATCGTAGCAGTAAAAATGGCCCAGACTGCATGGTGTTTTAAATCATCTTGAGGCTTTAAAATGCATATCCTTTGACTTTGGTTTTTGGGTCTGCTGACCCCGAATTTCAGTTTCGCTTCATCATCGCCAGTGCCCCGTCGGCCCACCTCGCCCGGCCAGTGGCCGGCCGCTCCCCCTCGTCTCTCGGAGATTTCCGGGCCCTCCTGCGCCATCGGATTTCGGCAGACAGAGCCTGCCGCCGATTTGCCCCGGCAAATTTCCAAACAGTAAACGGAAAACCCAGCGACGCAAAAGCTCTCCAGCTTGCAACAAGTGCCATTGTAAAAGGGGGGCTTTTCAAAACACTCCTGGAAATGTCTTGATCGCACCCTTGACTTTCCACAGGAACACAGTGCAACACACACATACACGTCACACCCCTCCGGGACCTGGCCCTTGTGTGACATACTGTTATGTGCATTTCACATATACCAAAAGCAGGACACTTAGAGAGCAAAAATCAGGCACTTTTAACACCTCACCCTGTACAGTGAATTCATGACACTTTGCAGGGTGGACTGGTGGCTCTGTGGCTCA